AACTCCCCCGAAGGTGAAGTTGGTCATGGCACCCTCACAGGAGCCATCCTCGACATTGGCATGGAAGTTGAAGTTGGGCGAGGTGGCATCGGTGCAGCCCGGGTAGGTGTTGAAGGTGTAGTAGCGGCGGACGGCCATCTCCACGTGCCTGGCCAGCTTCTTCACTGTGGGGGACGGCAGCTCTGGCAGGGTGCTGGGCTTGATGAAGAAGTACAGGGGCAGCCCTGAGCGGTCAAGAGCCACAAGCTCGTTTCTCATCCCCTCCTGCCAGGTCTTGAGGGTGATGCCTGGGTAAAAGGGGGTCCCGCCAATGCTCTCTACCCTGGAACTGGTGCGGTTCTCCAGATACTGCTTGGTGAAGCCAGAGATGACTTTCAGGGACTCCTCACTTTTCATACTGATGATGCTGTGGAAAGCCACTCCAGCTGAGGCGGTGACAGCACTCCGTTCGGCCCAGCTGTCCTTCAGGAAGGTTGCCTTGATCTGATCCTCCTGCACCAAGCTTGCTCCAGCGTCCACGGAGGTGATCGTGTGGGTGCCATAGTTAAGCACCAGCAGCTCGGCCAGAAAGTCAGCCATTCGCGTCTGGTTGTTCTCCAGGTGACTGGCGATGGTCAGCAGCTGCTTCTTGAAGCCCTTGTCCAGGACTGCCCCTGGGTCGACCTTGGCTGTGTAAACCAGGTTCCTGACTTGCACTCGGGTGGTGACAGCATGGTCTTTCACTTGGTGGGTCTTGGTCCTCTGAAAGTCATAGGAGAACTTGCCATTGATGGAAGAGAAGAGGAACAGCTCCAGGTTGATGGAGGCAGAGGTGATGCTTTGGTAATCTTTCCAGGACTCAATGATCTCGGAGTTGATGTCCAGGTTGCTCTGCTTGCGAGGGATAGTGAAGACCTCATCTGGAATGATGTAAGATCCATCTTCTGTGGTCTTGCACAGTGAGTAGCCCAGATTGACGACTTTGCCCATATCCAAATTCCTGAGGTTATCCCAGCCCCCCCCCGGCAGCACTTCCAGACCTGGGAGCTTCAGGGCCTTCTTGCACTCTGGAAGCCTGGCGGAGGGGGACAGCTCCTGGCTCTGCTCAGCCCCTGTCACCAAAGCCACCGACACGAGAACCCCCCGCAGCAGCCAGCCTGTGGCCAAGCCGGTGCAGGGCCTTTGCCAGACGTCCGGGTGCTGGGGCTGGAGCAGGGAAATGAGCTGCTGGGGCTGCAGCTGCGGGTGGTTCCTCCTTTGGGGGCCTTTGGGGGTTGAACAAATGAAAGGGAAAGGAGAAGTGAGAACCAAAGATTGTGAGAAATGGCTGAGTGGAGCTGATCAAGTGGGTGGGGAGCAGCATGTAGAGGTGCCCAGAGCCCAGAGCCTCGCTGTTGTGACAGCTCCCTGTCCCTGGGAAAGCTGCTCTCCCAGGGATGGAACAGGGAGAAACTTCTATCTCAGCTTGTCCCTGCATCCAGGGAATTTCACGGTGTCCCTTGGGCAATGCTCATGTGACTCCCCCAGGTGAAACCCCCCTGCCCCAGCTGACCCTTTGTGCCATGCAACAGAATTGTCCCCAGACTTGTGGCCAGGGGGTCCCACTCACACAATGGGGTGAGACCTGTCCCTTGGTCACATGGACCTTGCTGCTGTCTCCAAGGCTTTCCCTCGCAGCAGAAGCGAGGAGAGGAAGCAGGGGGCCAGTGCAGTGTGGTTTCGGTGTCAGGGACAGTGCAATGTTTGTTTCTCTTCTCTGTTGGGGAAGAGGCTGCCCGACACGCTGGGACAGAGTCTGGTAGGTTTGGAGGTCCCTCCATGGGGGCCAGCCTGTAGCACAGGTGCCCCCCCTTACTAACATCTGCAGTAGGGCCCTCTGCTACCTCCTCTACCCCATCCCAGACCTTCCCTGGGTCTGCAGTGCTCGGGGTTGCCGCGCTGTGGGAAGCTGGTTCCGGTGGTGCTGTGCTGGCTCAGCCCAGGGATGCTGGCACATGGCTGGGCCCCGGTTCCAGCAGCACAGGGCAGTTGCTGGGTGTTTTGGGGAATGAACAGTTAAAGCAGCTTCTGCTCTGAAAGCTGTGGCTCTTCCCACATGGACAGGCTCACTTCCCCTCGTTTTGCTGGTTAGTTCCTCTGCCCAGGAAAGTTCTGGTAAGGACAAGGCGGAGGCAAGAGCTGTGCTGAAGCAGGGTGGGGATGGAACACCACAGATGCGTGTGTGCCTTTGCCAGGATAATGACGGGTGTCTGCATTGCAGAATAGGCAAGAGGAAAACTGTTAGGTACAGCCATGCTGGCACCAGTGTGGGGCTCCCACACCAACCTGGAGCCATCTGCTTTTTAGACCAGGTTGTGAGGTTGCCTCATCTAAAATCCAGCTGTGCGTTTCACTGCCACTCAGCTCTGAAGCCTGAGCAGTGGCCCCTGGCAGGGAGCTGCAGCTGGCAATGGCTGTGGCCACTGGGATCAGAGGAGGGAGAGAAGTCCTGTGGAGAAGAGACGAGCTGCCTTGTCTCTCTACCAAGCAGGAACAGCTCCGAAACAGAAACCAGGACTTCTCTGTGCTGTGTCAGCAGCTGCAAGCCATCCTATCCCACAGGGACCGACATGCAGCAGAGTAAGGCAGAACCTGTCTGCCGCATCCAGCTGGGGGATTCACACCAACCAATTTCCTTCCTGACTGCCACAGGGAATGAGTGAATGCCAGAGCGGGAGAGCAAGCCCTGCTCACCAGCTGTGAGGGTGGACAAAGCCCTGCGCAGGGCTGCTGCTGCCTTCTGGTTGGTGAGGAAGGGGCAGTGAGGAGGATGGCAGCAACAGAGCTGCAGGTGCTGCAGCAGGAGTGGGAAATGTGCTTTGGGCCTCCCCCCTGTTGTGGGTTCAGTCTAACAGTTACTTTTCTCCTTCCTAGGTTCTGGTGCGGTGCTGTGTTTCGGCTTTACTCTGAGAATAGTGCTGGTGAGGCGCCGATGTTCCGGTTGTTGCTCACTCGCGCTTACCCCAATCAAGGACTTTTTGGTCCCTTGTGCTCTGCCAGTGAGGAAGGACACAAGAAGCTGGGAGGAAGCAGAGACAGGACACCGG